GGGCGGGAGGCGGCGCGCGCCCCGCGGGGTCCGTGCGAGGGAGGGAGGGACGGAGGGAGCGAGCGGCGGAGCCCGGCCCGCGATGGAGTAAGGCAGGGAGCGCGGCCGCTCCGCCCGCCCGCCGCTCTCCCTCCGCCGCCTCCGTGCAGCCCGCCCGCTAGGGAAGGAAGGCAGGAGGAGCCCCCCCGGGGGAGGGGCTGGCGCTGGGTGCAGCCCGGCTGCCGGGCTCGGGGAGCGGAGCGATGGCGGCGCGGAGAGCCCGGCGGCTCCTCGGCTCCCTGTGCATCGCCCTTTTCTTTGCGCAGCCCGCGCCGGCCGGCGCCGCGGCGCGGAGCGGCTCCCGGAGCCTCCTCACGGGTAAGAGCGCGGCGAGAGCCCGGAGGCGGCGGGCGCGGGGCTGTGCGGGGGCGCGGAGGGGCCCCGGGGGTGGCGGGGCCCGGGGCGGCCCCGGTAGGGCGAGCGGTGCCGCGGGGCTCAGCCCGCTCCGCTCCGCTCCGCTCCGCTCCCCCCGTGCGGGCACCAGCAGGGGCCACTGCTCGCCTCGGGAGCGGCGGCGGTGCCTCCCCGCGAACAAGGGACACCTGGAGCCCCATCTGCGGGCTATTGAACGCTTCAGCCGCTTGTGCTCCCGGTTCGCGGACACCCGCGAGTGGAGCCGGGCATACCTGAGAGGAATCGGGCTTTCTGCTCACCCGTGGGGACAGCCGGGCACACCTGAGAGGAATCGGGCTTGAAGCTCGCCCTTGAGGGGAGCCGGGCACGGGCGGGCTCTGCCCCGGCTCGGGAGCGGTGCTGGAAGCGGCTCGGACTCGGTACCGGCAACCTGTGGAGAGAGAGGAACTTGCCTGGGAACTGCCGCAGTAGCCCAGAAATGAGCGGTCTGGCAGCGTTTCAGCCGCGGTAGTTCTCACACCTTTTACCATTGTTGTCTTTAATGGTCTATGATTGAATCCTGGTTCTTTATAGGCTACGGGAAACGTAATCTCAGCCAGGTGAGGCAGGAGAAGGCTCTCTCAAAGCCCTTGCTTGAGACCATTAATACCGCAGAAGCCTCCCTAGCTTTGCAGCGATGTTATCTGCTCGTTTTGCCAAATACTGGCTTTAAAAAGTAACTTCTTTTTTTCCTTCTTGCCAGCAATAAGCTAGTAGGAAGCTTGAAAGAAAATCTGGTCTTGAATGCTGAGTGCTGGGATTAAAAAAAAAAAAAAAATCCCCTGTAGGTTGATTGAATCCTGATATTTTAAGAGAAAGCTCTGTGCAAGTGAAATATGGAAAAAGCTGCTGGTTAAATGAGTGTCTTTTAGCAACTTGGGAAAGTGAGAACGGTTACCTTCTGACATTAAATGGTGTAATTGTTCTATTTCAAATCACATCAGGCAGGATCGTCCATGGTGGTTCTCATCTTGGACACCACTGATGGARCCATGTGTGCTGACTCTTGTTGACGGGGAATATTTTTATTTATTCTCTTAAACACTGCAAGCTTTGCAGATTCCAGGTCTGAAACAGATTTTGTTTTCTTTTGAAAAATATTGCCGTTTGACTCAAAGATCTGCAGAGTATGTGTAACAGATAWGTTACTTTTTGATGTGTAAAATCTTGCCACGTGGTGATTCTTTTCTGGTATTCCTGYTCTCCTGACAGCTCAGTGGTCTTATAGTTGTGTTGGTAGCTCTTTGCTAGTTTAAAAAAAGTCCTTTCTGGTTTGAAGAAATCAAATTAGTAGGTGAAGTTCTGTCTGTTGGAGGTAAATATGTGAATTAAGTCTGCCAAGGGGAAGTAATGTGTGGCAATGATATGGAATAAAACCTTCAYTGGAGCAGGAATTTAGGAGTATGGTTATGGAAATCTTGGAAGTTCTGGTGAAATCCTCCTCTCCTGTCTTTCTGTCTCTTGAAAAAGGTGCCTTTATGCCGTGTCCATGGGTCCCGTGGGATCCCTGGGGAGGACCAGGAGCTGGGCTTTCCGTGTGTGAGGCTGTTTGTACCAGTGACTTGGAGGGAGGGAGAAAGGCTCTCTTAGCTCTTTGTCTCAGTAAGGAGCAGATGCTTCATGTGTAGTTGATGAACTTAATTTTAATTCACACTCTTTCCCACCTGATTGCTGCTATTTTTTCTTACAGGATGTTCTACATACTTTTATATGGGCAGGTGGGAGAGGAGTTGCTCATAGGAGAGGGAGTTGAGTACAGAGGTTCCATGGCATGAAAGTTCTCCCCTTGGAGTTTAAATGTGAGGGGGATGGTGCTGTCTTCTGTCTCATGCTTTGGGTGAAGCTTTGATCTTTTCAGGATGCTGGGAAGAGCCTCCTTAGGCTGGTGCTGAGGGCTGGAGAGGCAGAGGAACAGCAGGTCCAGCAGAGCTTTAGCTGTGAGACTCACACCTCTCCTTGTCAAGGGTGAAGTGCTGCTTGCAATGTCCGGAACAGGAGGTTTCAATGCAAAAAAAAAAACCAAAAAAAACCATGCTGGCATTGTGGTGTGGGTAAAAGTGCCATAAATGAGGATAAGTTGCAAATTTGGAAGCCCATATTCTTTGTATGGAGTCATGTGTGTTGGAGGGACATTTGATCCTATCTATAAATAGCTCRTCATGGCTCTTGGAAGAAGAAAKRAGTGCAGCTGAATTATGYTAAGAAAAAACTGTATAACTTCATTTATTTGTGTATCTGCCAACATTTAGTGTGTTTTCCAATCTCGTTTGCTTTGCAGATAAGGCGAGATGAGCTACTGATTTTAGAATTAGGACAATGTTTCACTTAGCTGAGGGAATAAAACAAATGGGGAARAAGCATCAAATTAAGCTAAATCCTSCCTCCTATAACTGTTTGTAACTGAGATGAGCATAAAAATTTGGATCTATACAGGATTGCATTATTAGGAATAAAAATGGAGCTGGTGTCACTTAATTTTTAATAGGAAAGCTGTGATAGCCTGTATACACCATTAAGATTGCAAATGAGATTATTCAGAAGCAGGGTATTTGTTCTGTCTCTCCCTGGTATTCTGGAAGTCTTTGGAATCGATATGTATTTTGTTTTTAGAGGACAAACTGCTGGTTTGGGAAGTTTCAACAAAGSAGAATTAGCAATTCTGGGTGGTGGGCCTGGAGCTGCATGAGAAACCCAGAATTGAAGGGGACTGTGAGCAGCAAGTTGGGAACTGCTTCCAGGTGCTGCTGCCAGGGATGCTCCTCCTGGGAAGTGACAGGGAGTGTGGAAGGCTAAGGATGGCAGCACAGATCGGCTGGGGACCCTAGAAACAGCAGGTCATCATTTGTTTCTGTTTTGTGTGTGCTGCTTGATTATTTCTAATTATATCCCAAGTTAAAAATAGAGCAGAAATATTCAGGTCTTGCTTACATCCCAAGTCAGTTAAGCATCGGTCTCCCTGCTTGATATTCCTGTTCCATATAGACAGGTTGCATATGGCTTTTGCAGTGTGTTTATTAGTCATCTAAGAAAATTACTTGACTGGCTTATGAAGCTTTCCTAATAAACTAACACTTCAGTTTTAAAATTGTCAGGTGTGTACACACCTGCGCCTAATGTTCATCRCGGTGAAAAGCAGCAAACAAAAAGTGTCATAAAAAAAAAAAGCTTGGCTTAGGTACCTTATCAGTGTAACAGCTAACTTATCAGTGTAAGTAAGGAAGTTACATATGGKAGATATTTTCTTATACAAATAAGAGTATTTGGTTGCTCCTGAAGATAAAATGCCCTTGTGATTTACATGACATTAACCTCCAGCCAGAGGTTTTCAGAGAAGTCTGTAGACTGTAGACACCTAATTTGAGTTTGCTGCATGGCCAAGGAAAGGAGAATGGGAATGAGTGTGGAAATGGAGTGGGAGTTTAAGAAAATTAYGTAAAGAGCAGTTTGATACTCTGCTTAACCTTTGCTTTCAAGCTATAAAAGCATTTAACTTGGACAACATCAGCCTGAGYGTCATGGGGGTTTGAAAGTGAATTTTTGGATCATCACCAGTTTCATGGAGATAATTTGGTGTGTACAGTGTGTGCCAGTGTTTCTGGCCAACTTTTCTAAATATGCAGTGGTTTTATAGATGCAGGATGTTTACAGTTTCAGTTTGCATTGCCTATGAAGAGGTATAACTGGAGTTGTTGTTAGTAGCTAA